AATATATAAATCATATTTTATATTTATGATAAATAATTTATATTATAATAAAAAAATTATTTATCGATAATTTATTTTAAAATAATAATATTTAATTTATAAATAATTATGATAAATAAAAATTGAATTAAATAAAATATTAAAAAAAAAATTTACAAATTCTCTCCACAAGCAACAATCGTTAATAAAAAAATGATTTTGAAAGAAATAATTTTAATGCAATCAAATTTTTAATAAAGACTAATTTCTAGTAAAACATTAATTTTTTCCATCACTTAAAATTAAATTTGATTTTTCTTGTATTTCATAGTTAGTTCTCGAGGTAGTATTCAACTTTGATTTTTTTGTAGCTAAAAAATAATATTAATATAATAATAAAATATATTAGTTAATACAAAATTAAAATAAAAATTTAGAAAATATTAATCATTAAAATAGCATAAATAATATTTTTTAAATAATATTAATTATTTAATTTTCATATTTTCGCTATAATTCAATAAGAATAATTAGTGATACACTTTTTATTGATTATTTCTTCTTTGTTCAATATTTAATTTAATTGATTTTTTAATAAACAAAAAATTATTTTTACTTTTAACAATGATTTATCTATTGGTTTTATTTGAGTGAAGGACATATCTAAGTTGTTAATAATAATTAAAAAATAATTGAGTTAGACATTAGAACTTAAAAGAGATTAGTGGAAGGTATATGAAAAAGTTTACGAATAGCATTACCTGTTTGATACTTAAAAGGCGATAAATAACTTTCTTAATCAAATAAGAAATGAAAATTGATAAAATGTATTTAATCCAAGCAATTAATATATCAATAGACACTTCTCTCCACAATTAGTTGTAACGGTCATCCTCATTAAAGTGTCAGTATAAGGAAGTTTGAAGAATAAAAAACACATAAGAGAAGCACGTATTGTAAAATTACATTCATTATTTTTGTGTTTAAGTCTTGTACTTAATATTGTTGTATCACATCTTAAAAGTAGGATGAACAATATAGTTATCTTACCTAGCTTTAGCTCTGTTTCATTGCTTTGAGTCTAAAGAGGTTTCATTGAAAAATAATATTTAGGGTTTGAAGCCCGAAGATACTTTATGTTAAATAATACTTGAGTAGTTGTTTGAAAAGACAAGTTAAATAATACTTAAGTTGAGTTAAAAGTGATTTGTGAAAGAATACTTATATATTTGTAAAAGATAGTAGAACTTGATCGAGTTTGATCAATAATATATAGGATATAGTCTCGGTAGTTGAGACAAATCAGTATAAAAATATTTTGTGTTATTCTTACTTACTCTTTCATTTTCACTCCTACAACTTCGCTACTATTTCATTTTTTTGAAAAGGTGTGAGTTTTTTTTTATTAACATTATTCAAGCTTTTCTCCAATGTTTTTCTTTTCTCCACAATTTTTAATTTAAGGGTTTGATCGTTAATATTTGATATAGAACATGAATCATTAAGTGGAGTAGGTAGTCTAACAAGACTTACTCTTGAATTAAGTGGTCATATTCTCTCTCTCTCTCTCTCTCTCTCTCTCTCTATATATATATATATATATAATTACACCAATGTAACTTTTACTAAGTATTACACTGCTCAATAACTTTATATTAATTGTAAATTTTGTAAATCCAACCATTAGATTGAAAGTTCATATCACTTTATACGTGTATATCAAATTTTGTTAAAATTGAACAACAACTTGAAAGTAATCAAAGTGTTCATATTTTAGTGTATTTTAAAATAAATATATTACGTCAATTTTATTTTATAAAAATGAAGTATCAAAAAGTCATCTGGGATAAATATAAAATTTTGTATATATGATTTAAGAGATATGAACTTTCAATCTAACGGTTGAATTAACAAAATTTGCATTTAATATAGAGTTATTGAACGGTATAACACTTAGTAAAAGTTACACCGGTGTTATTATAACTCCCCTCATATATATATATATATATATATAGAGAGCATATCAAGTGAGAGAAAATTTATTATGAGAGATGAGAGGGTTAAAATATAACCCTTAGATTGATTTTACGAATTCAAATTTCAGTGTATCAAGTGAGAGAAAATTAATATAAGAGTTATATTTTAACCTTCTCATCTTTCATAATAAATTTCCTCTCACTTGATATGCTCCCTATATATATATTTAGTGTATTTTGAAATGAATATATTACGTCAATTTTGTTTTATAAAAATGAAGTATCAAATCATTGGATTAATATAAAATTTTGTATATATGATCTAAGATATATGAACTTTGAATCTAATGGTTAAATTTACAAAATTCACATTTAATATAGAGTTATTGAACGGTTTAACACTTAATAAAAGTTACGCCTACATTTTTTTAGACAATTTTACTCCTAAATCTTTAAATAATAAGAGAAATAACATTAAAAGTTACTTTTATTAACAGTTTCACACCAAAGTTAACCACTTGTAACTACTCAAATCCTCAAATTGTTAATCACATATTTATTTAATTAAATATCAATTATTTTATTTTATTTTTAAATTTTTAAATGAAATATAGAGGTATAAAATGTTTCAACCTCACTAATAAATATAATAAGCATAATGTGATAAAGTGATTTAATATGTATAAATGTAATGACTCATTATGATCTCTACACTTAACGACTTAATTAACAACAAGTAATAGAAAAATAAAATAAATAACTACTTAAGGATAACATTCAATAGTTATTGGATACTCATGGTTAATGTATACATATATTTACAACTAAAACTTTCATATACATATTTACATAATTGTATAGTAATCCATATAACTATAAATTTAGCCCTAGGTATCAATCAAGCACATCTACTACTATCTAGCTACTTTAGGGTAGTTCAAAATATCAACACTACCAACATTAACACGACCTCCCAAAATAGCTCCAAGAGAAACTTATCAATGTTTTGCTCCATATAAAGTATGATCACTATAGTTCATCCACATGGAACACACAAGGGTAAACTAGAGTTCTAAGAATCAACATAATTAATACAGGCATAAACAACTTTACAACCAACATAAGCAATTTAACCTATTACAGCACCGCACCAACTTACAACTTATACAACTTTCAACACGGGACTTCATATTTTCAATTAGTCCATCACATCATCAACACCACTATATCATGAGGACAACACCACATCAACAACTAAGAATTTCAACTCAACTACACAACAACTATATGTGTCGTCACATATTTTCACTAGGAGATCTCCTACAACACAAATGAGTAATAAGTGATTTGATCCTACCAAACCAACAATCTGACCTTTCCAATCTAGTTAGCTCAATATCCAAATGGGATATCAATTAATCCTCAACAACATGGTTTCTTAGATGTCATCACTTAAACTATGAAGTCTAGTATTCCTATCAAGGTAGAATAATTGGATATGGACCTACCACGACATTAGTTAGCTTAACCAAACCTCACATGGGATTAGTCCACTTACTACTCTCCAAATATTATATCCTTTTGATACTCAGTTAAGGATTCTAATCCTCAACCATGTTTTTTATTAAATTTTTGGTTGTTTTATACATGTGTATCTCGAACTTGCCTACATATAAATCAACATTGGTCGCTTTTAGTCAATATGGCTTGACTCGGCCCACATATTACATCAACTAAGGTTTTAGAGGAGCAACAACTTCCGCTTCAAGGGTCAACTTTCCAAGAAGGGTTTTCAACAAATTGGGTTCTCAAAGCACCATAACATAATATCTACACAATAGAATATGTAACTTTAAAATAACCTCTCCTCTAATCCTAGGTTGGTCAACATAGTACAACTTTTAACATCATGCCTAAATGCCTAAAACATCATCAACATTCATCATCTCAACAACACAACAACCTTAGGCATATTCAACACAACTATACAACAACATATAGTATACAACTCAACTTAGCTTAACTCTAAATCATTCAACTAAGCAACACACAACTTAACTCAACATAGTTAATTATACTTTATCTTAGATCAAGGTATAGATTCAATATAATACATCAAAATACAACATCTAATACAACCTATAACATCTCACAATACATTCACCTTTGCATCATAAGCAACAATTCCAATCCAAGTATATTGTGCTTGATGCTACACACTTGGCATCTTGCATCAATGAGGTAGGGAATCCTCTACCTTGCCCACACCCAACACTACACAACTCGTGTCTTGTATGGATTAGGTAGAAGCCCTTTGCACCTCATGTCCAGCGTGGTAAGGTTCTACACCTGGCCTTAAACCAACCTAAGATGTTTCTCTCTCCTCACGTCCATTGTTATTCACATCATGCCCCAACGTCATTTCAACCTGAGATAATTCTCTCTCTTCATGTCTGACGACACCAATCATGCGCTCGGTGTGAGTAAGATATGAGCCTTTGGTTTGAAGTGTGCCTAATGCCTTGAAGGTGGTGCGATGAGCATTCTACACTTGTGAAAAATCACAAATTCGCCTCTCATTCACCTAAAATCCACAAAATTCAACATGTAACACCAAAATACATGCATATACATTATATACCAGATATAACCTCATTTTCAACATGCAACTCATAATTAAACCAAATCATCCATCTTTTACAACATACTTCTCTAAAACTAAAACCAAAACCTCTAACTTCAACATGCATTCATCCCAAAACAAATCAACACAACAATCAATTTTTAGATTCAACAATATTCAACTCCACAAATCAATGTCCAAACAACAACTTAGTCGAAAATCAAAATGCAGCTTATTTTACCTCTTGGTAGAGCTAAATTGAGGTAAAAGAAGAGGAAATGAGCCTTGTACAGATCACGAAGCTTAATTCAAGATTCCTACAAACCTAAATCATCAACAATACAACATAAATGAGATTTAGGGAAAAAGAGAAGATTTAAAGTAGGAGACTCACATATCAGAGCACTTTTCTCTAGATTTTCTCTCTCTAGGTTGTTGAAGAACATAACTTATAGAGTTTTATTTTAAATATAAACTTTACATATTTATCTCATTAGGATCAAAATGGATCTCTACCTAGAGAAACCCTAAAATTTCCTAAACTCATAAAGAATCTTAAGATTTCAAAGTTCCTCAAGATAAAACAACAATTCAACATAGCAATATATAATTAATAAAAGGCTAAAATCCTAATTTGATCCCTTATAATATTTTAAAGTTTCAATTTAGTCTTACTTTAATTTTTGGGTTCAATTTAGTCCATCTATTAAAAATGCTATCAATGTTTGTCTTCCATCTAAATTTTTCAAACGCCATTTAGGAGTGTTCATGTGATTGAGAATCACGGGTGTGATTCTCACGGCTCTTACTTAGCAGATTTTTTTATATGATTCACACCGTGGAAATCACGGGCGTAATTAAGAATCACAGGTGTGATTCTCACGAATCTTTAACGACGTTTGAGAAATTTAGATGAGAGACAAACATTGTTAATATTTTTGATATGTGAGGCTAAATTAAACCCAAAAATTAAAGTTAGATTAAATTGAAACTTAAAAATATTATAAAAGATCAAATTAAGATTTTATCCTTAATAAAATAGTAACACTTAAGAAACTTACGTGTTACAATATAAATATCAAACTCATATTTTGTAATATATATTATTTAGTTATTATATGAAATTAAAGAAAATTTTAAAGTTTGAAGGAAAAATGAGTTAGTATAAATTATTATATGTAAAATTTCAACAATATATCTTTTAACAAATTAAAATATATTTCTTTTAATTATTGAATATAATATTATTTTTAATTTTATATGTAAAATTAGTAAATATTTTATAAAAAATTATTAGTATATAATTATGTATTAATAAATAATTTAAAAAAAAAACAACTGGCCCCCTTTTTTTAGCTGGCTGAATCCGTCTGCCTCCTTATTTCAGCCTCCCCCTTCCATGTCGACGCTGACCTCACCATCTTCTGCCTCTGCGGTCTCTCTCCAGATTCAGGACGCTGCTGCAAGAAGACGCGTCCGTGATAGCCACTTCGAAAGAAAAATGACTTATACCACAAATGAAAAGTCACTGAAAAACCAAAATTTGTAAGTAAATGTATAATAGACTTTCACTTACCAACGTTTTTCAGTCAACTTTAAGGGTCATTATGATCATAAGTTTTTTCTATTAGTAGATGATTATATAATATTAAGATAATTATAAAATGTTATATAGATAAAATTAAGTAAAAAAAATCTTAAATAAACATAGCTCCAGCTTTTTATTTTAAAGCAAGTCAAACTCAAATTTTTTAATTAGATTCGATTAAATAAATAACTCAAATTTAATGAATAATGTTTTTTGCAAACCAAACTAAAATTTCAAGAATTCCGTTTATCTCGACTAGTTTATGACAAATGTTTGATATTTTCTATGTCCCTTTCGTGTTTTGGCGTTTGCCAAGTTAATTCCTTGCATTTTCTCTCTATCATTCTTTCTCTTATTTCCTTGTTTTCATTGTTTGACAGCTTTAGGAGGACCGATGCTAGCGTGGGGGATGGGACGAAATTCTTCATCTTTTGTAAATTATAATATAATATGTGGTATTCATGTCTCATTGATATGAACAACAAAGACATAACAAGACTTTATTTTTTTCTCCGACTCACCTGTTCCTTCCACAAACATCTCAAGAATCATTGTTGTGGCTACCATGGTAAAGTCCACATTCTCTTCCTTTGCCTATCAATGGACTTATGATATTTTTCTCAGTTTTCGAGGTGTGGACACCCGCACTGGTTTTACTGGAAACCTTTTTCATGCTCTGTGTCAACAGGGAGTCACCACCTTCATGGATGATCAAGAACTGAGGAAGGGTGAAGAAATCACACCGGCTCTGTTAAAGGCAATTCAAGAATCTAGGATTGCCATTGTCATTTTTTCACAAAACTATGCATCATCAACTTTTTGTTTGCAAGAACTTGTGAATATTATGGAGTGCTTCAAACACAATGGCATGTTGGTTTGGCCTGTTTTTTATCAAGTGGAACCATGTGACGTGCGGTATCAGAAAGGAAGCTATGCAGAAGCACTAGCCAAACATGAAAGCAAAATTAGTGACAAGAATAAGGTGAAAAAATGGAGATCAGTTTTGCAAGCAGCTGCTAATCTATCCGGTTTTCATTTCAAACAAGGGTATGCAAATAAGTAACCATTCTTTTCCTATATATTTTATTATTTTTTGTATGATACTAGAATTTCAATTATGCACTTGGGCAGGTACGAATATGATTTCATCCGAAATATCATTCAAGAAGTCTCTAGAAGGATCAATCGGAGCCCTTTATATGTTGCTAATTATCCAGTTGGCTTAGAGTCTCGCGTCCAAAAGGTGAAGTCACTTCTTGATCTTGAGTCAAATGATGGAGTCCACATGGTAGGGATTTATGGGATAGGTGGAATTGGAAAGACAACACTTGCATGTGCACTATACAATTTCATTGCTCATCAATTTCAAGGTCTCTCTTTTCTCGCTGACATTAGAGAAAGTTCGGTGAAAAAAGAGTTGGTACAACTTCAAGAGACACTTCTGCGTGATTTAGTTGGAGAGAAAGACATTAAGTTGGAGAATGTAAAGAAAGGGATTCCAACTATTAAAAGTAGGCTCTGTAAAAAGAAAGTTCTTTTAATTTTGGATGATGTTGACAAATTGAAGCAATTAGAAGTACTTGCAGGTAGACTTGATTGGTTTGGTTCTAGCAGTAGAATTATTATAACAACTAGAGATATCCATTTGCTACATGTTTATGGTGTTAAAAGAACGTATGAAGTAGAAGGATTAAATCATAAAGAAGCCCTTGAATTATTTAGCTGGAATGCTTTCAGAAGCAAACAGGTCAAACCTGGTTATCTGGACATTTCAAAGAGAGTCATAAAGCAATCTTATGGCCTACCGTTATCTCTAGAAATAATAGGCTCTGATTTATTTGGTAAGACAGAGTCACAATGTAAGTCAGCATTAGATGCTTACGAAAGAATTCCTCACGAAGATATTCAGCAAATCCTAAGGATAAGCTATGATGGGTTAAAGGAATTTGAAAAGCAGATATTTTTAGACATTGCTTGTGTTTTTAGAGGATACATAGTACTGATGTCATAAATATTCTTCATAGTGGTCGTGGCTCTGCCCCAGACTATGCTATCCAGGTGTTGATTGATAAATGTCTAATAAAAATTGATCTACATCGTGTGAAAATGCATGATTTGATTGTGGATATGGGTAGAGAAATTGTACGGCTTGAATCACCTTCAAAACCATGTGAACGCACTAGATTATGGTTCTCTAAAGATATTCTTCATGCTTTCAAAAAGAACAAGGTATGTGCATTGTGCAGCACTTATTTGTCTCTGATCCTTCATTTTTCCTTTTTGACAAATGCTTAGCAGATGACCTGGTTGTTAATCCTCTGCAATTAAATTTTATGTTTACAAAATTTGTTAGTTTTAGATCATAAGATTTATAATTTGAAAACTTTATCCTAATTTGACTATTATGGCTAAAAGGGATCTGATAAAACCAAGATCATTATGCTACACTTGCCTAAAGTTAAAGAAGTGCAATGGGATGGAACCGCTTTGGGGAAGATGGAAAACCTTAAAATATTGGTGGTAGAAAATGCTCACTTTTCTAGAGGACCTAATTCTCTTCCAAAAAGTTTAAGAGTGGTAAAATGGTGTGCATATCCTGAATCATCATTGGCTGCTGATTTTGATCCAAAGAAACTTGTCATATTGGGCTTGCCTTTGAGTTCTTTTTCATTTAAGAATTAACTGTACATGGTATTATTAGTAGCTAACCATCTTGGATTCTTGATGTTTATTTGGTCTTGGATATTAATGAGTCACAATTCCATTTGAAAATTCATAAATTAGTTACTATGTTGTTTTTTTTGCATTTTGCAGAAATTCAAGTCTTTGATGGAAATGAACTTGAGTAGATGCAAATTACTAAAAAAAATACCTGACATGTCTGGAGTACCAAATCTGAAGAAACTGCTTCTTGTTAATTGCTCAAATTTAGTTGAAGTTCATGATTTGGTTGGATTCCTTGATAAACTTGAATATCTGACTGAATCTTGATTGTTGCACCAGTCTTAGGGTTCTTCCTTGTAGCATGAACTTAACATCTCTTAAAACCATGTACCTTAGGAATTGCACAAGTCTCACGAGTTTTCCAGAAGTTTTAGGGAACATGAAAAACATTCGGGAACTTGATATGAGTGATAGTGGTATATATGACTTACCTTCTTCAATTGGAAATCTTGTTGGGCTTGTAGTTCTTATTCTAACTGTGCACTGCACTACTTGAACTACCTAGTAGTGTTTTTATGCTGCCAAAATTAGGGCACTTGGAAGCTAACTTTTGTTTGCGGCTTGCACAAGTACAGATTAGGGAAGGTCAAGATCTAGAAACAATGTCTTCACGTGTCAAGGATGCTAGTTTTGACTTTTGCTATCTGACAGATAAATTTCTTTGTGCACTTCTTCCTTGCTTGCGCAATGTTACAGATCTATCCCTCAGTAACAGAAATATCACAATCCTTCCATCATCCATTGGTGCATGTCTTTCCTTAACAACACTTCGTTTGAATGAATGCAAGGAGCTTCTAGAAATCAAAGGCTTGCCACCAAACATAAAATTTCTTTATGCCTTTAATTGCACATCGTTGACTTCCAAGTCTAAGGAGATGCTACCGAATCAGGTATCTTATCTATGTTTTGAATATTTTCTCATATTCTTTCAGCAAAAATAAAGATAAAATAACATCTATTGTCATGATGCTTAACTGACAGACACTACACGAGACTGGGGGCAAACGTTTTCTACTTCCAGGATCAACTATCCCAAGTTGGTTGAATTGCAGTAGCAAGGGTCCATCAATGCGTTTCTGGTTTCGTAACAAGTTCCGGGCAATTACTTTATGTGCTGCTGGACTTTTCCGTGGTTACGCGTACTGTGAGTGGCAGCTGAAAGTTAATGGTATGCAACAGTTCCCTGTAATTTCTCTAAGTGAATGTGATAGTGTTGCTGGAGCTTATTCAAATCGGACAAATCATACAATTCTGTCCGATCCACTTGAAATAGGGAATAATAAATTTGAAAGATTACATATGAGGAATGGATGGAACAGTGCTGAGATTTTGTTTGAGAATTATGGACGACCAATAGAAGGTATGAAATGGATAGGAGTACATGTACAGAAAGAGAAAACAAGCACTGCAGATATTCAATTTACAGAGCCCGAGTTTTCAATGGTCAACGATGAATTCCTGAATTAATTTAGCACTGCCAATAATGGTTCTTTCTGACTCTCTATCTGAGGCTCTTCCGTGTCTTAGATCACATTTTAAGTTTCTTTTATGCTTCCATCCATTCATTGTAATAGAAAATGCACAAGAGCTTACTCGGTATTTCTGTGCATTATTTTGTTACCTGTGGCTAATTGGTTGGTGAGTTTACTTTATTTACACTAATCAGGTCTCACCTTTATAGTTATATCAGATCCTCTGTTTTATTTAAAATTTTCCACTTTTGTTAGTTAAATATATTTGGACGTGTCGTGTGGTATGAACCCATTTAGCACAACATAAAATCCTAGAATAACAACTTTATCACTACTTGAAAGTGTGGAAGTGAAGGCGTTTAAATTGGAATCCAGTAAGAAAAAAATTAAATGCGTTTTGATTCACTGTATAATATTGTTTTGCAGTTTGAAAGTTGATACTAATGTGCCTAAACAGTTTATTAAAAGGTGGAGTGTGCTAACATAGAAACCTTTTAAATTGAAATATCATGGCAACCATTGCAATCGCAGACAATGGGTTAAATAGTGAGGGGTTTTCATGATTAAAAAGGACAAAGATCAAGTACAAGAAAGAATTCTTCAAATGTGAGAGATTCTAATTTTGGCAATCACTATCTGACAGATGAACCTCTTCCTAAAATTCTTCCATACATGCTCAATGTGACAGTTCTATTCCTTGATCAATGCAATGTTACAATCCTCCATCAAGCATCAATACATGACACAGCTTGCTTTGGATGAATGCAATGAGCCTGGAGAAATGAAAGGATTCCTGCCAAAATTTTCTGTATTAAACTGAACCTCATGGATTTCCTAGTCTCAGGTATCTCTGTTTTTATGTTTGGTCGTGGTCACAACTTATGTGGGATGCTTGGTGCTAGCTATTCTTGTTAAATGAAAAACAATCCTTGTTTTCAAGCTGACGATCATTTTTATATGTCTGAATACATTTGAAAAGTGATAAAGAAATTAAATTTATATTAAGTTTTTATTAAATAAATGATAACTTAAAATTTTATAAAAATAATGTTATTAGGTATTGCATTTGTAATTAGTACAATATTAAATTATATTTATTCAGAATTTATAAGTGAAAAATAATTTTTAATTAAGAGTCATGATTATAATAATGTTATAAATATATTATTAAAATAAAATATAAAAAGAAAAGTTTTGCAATAAAATCTAAAAATCCATCCATCCATATGAAATTTAAATTGGTAAATAAGGTGTTACATATAAGTTTGAAAATAAGATAATTTTATATAAGTGTGGTAATAAGAAATTTTCAATTTAATAATTTTTTTAGAAAATGTGGCTCATATCAGTGAGGAAAAATAATAAGTCTTATAATAATATTTGAATTATATTATAATTAATTTGAATGTGTAGTTATTAAGACATAATATATATAACATATTTGTAGTATAATGCATCACATGGTAATAGAAATGACATACAAAAATTAGAAATAACCTTAAATTTTAACTTTGTAACTTCTATAAAGTTCTTGTGATCTCAGGCAATGTTCCTCTTATAAACGATAATGTTATATAATGAGATTAAAAAAATGATGTTCATAATATATATATATATTTTTTTTAGAATAACGATATGCCGATTAAAACAAGAGAATAAAATAGTGTCGCATTGATAAACTCCAAAAACCCAAAAACCGAGGAGTACAAATTGAAAGGGAAAAAATTATAAAGAGATAATAAAGTATCTCTTACGAATAGATTGTTTGAAACTTTTAATTCCACAATCCCAACAATCATGGCAAAGTCAACATCCTCTTCCTTTGCCTATCAATGGACTTATGATGTTTTTCTGAGTTTTCGGGGTGAGGACACCCGCATTGGTTTTACTGGAAACCTTTTTCATGCTCTGTGTCAAAAGGGAGTCAACACCTTCATGGATGATCAAGAGCTGAGGAAGGGTGAAGAAGTGACACCAGCTTTGTTAAAGGCAATTCAAGAATCTAGGATTGCCATTGTCATTTTTTCACAAAACTATGCATCATCAACTTTTTGTTTGCAAGAACTTGTGAATATTATGGAGTGCTTCAAACACAATGGCATGCTGGTTTGGCCTGTTTTTTATCAAGTGGAACCATGTGACGTTCGCTATCAGAAAGGAAGTTATGCAGAAGCACTAGCCAAACATGAAAGCAGAATTAGTGACAAGAATAAGGTGAAAAAATGGAGGTCAGTTTTGCAAGCAGCAGCTAATCTATCCGGTTGGCATTTCAAACAAGGGTATGCAAATAAGTAACCATTCTTTTCCTATATATTTTATTATTTTTCGTAGGGTATTAGAATTTTAATTTTTTGCACTTGGGCAGGTACGAATATGATTTTATCCGAGATATCATTCAAGAAGTCTATAGAAGGATCAATCGGAACCCTTTATATGTTGCTAATTATCCAGTTGGCTTAGAGTCTCGCGTCCAAAAGGTGAAGTCACTTCTTGATCTTGAGTCAAATGATGGAGTCCACATGGTAGGGATTTATGGAATAGGTGGAATTGGAAAGACAACACTTGCTTGTGCAGTATACAATTTCATTGCTCATCAATTTGAAGCTCTCTCTTTTATTGCTGACATTAGAGAAAATTCAGTGAAAAAAGACCTGGTACAGCTTCAGGAGACACTTCTTTCTGATATAGCTGCAGAGAAAGACATCAAGTTAGGGAACGTAAAGAAAGGGATTCCAATAATTAAAAGTAGGCTATGTAAAAAGAAAGTTCTTTTAATTTTGGATGATGTTGACAAATTGAAGCAATTAGAAGCACTTGCAGGTGGACTTGATTGGTTTGGTCCAGGCAGCAGAATTATTATCACAACCAGAGATATCCATTTGCTACATGTTCATGGTGTTGAAAGAACTTATAAAGTTAAAGGATTAAATCATGAAGAAGCCTTTGAATTGTTCAGCTGGAATGCTTTCCATAGAAAGCAGGTTGATCCTGGTTATCTGGACATTTCAAAGAGAGTATTGCAACATTCTAATGGCCTACCATTATCTCTGGAAATAATAGGCTCTGATTTATATGGTAAGACAGAGTTGGAATGGAAGTCAGCATTAGATACTTATGAAAGAATTCCTCATGAAGATATTCAACAAATCCTAAGAGTTAGCTATGATGGCTTAAAGGAATTTGAAAAGGAAATATTTTTAGACATTGCTTGTTTCTTTAAAGGATACTGTCTGCATGATGTCATAAGCATACTACATAGTGGTCGTGGCTCTGCCCCAGACTATGCTATCCAGGTGTTGGTTGATAAATGTCTAATAATAATTAATCGACATTGTGTGAGAATGCATGATTTGATTGAAGATATGGGTAGAGAAATTGTAAGGCTTGAATCACCCTCAAAACCAGGTGAACGCAGTAGATTATGGTTCTCTAAAGATATTCTTCGTGTTTTCAAACAGAACAAGGTATGTGCATTACGCTTATTTGTCTCTTGGATCCTTCCATTTTTCATTTTTGACAAAGACATATTGGAAGACCTGGTTATTAACCCTCTACAATTAAATTTTATATTTACGAAATTTGTTAGTTATTAGATAATAAGCTTTATAATTTGAAAATTTTATCCTAATTTGACTATTATGGCTTAAAGGGATCTGATAAAACTGAGATCATCATGCTACACTTGCCTAAAGTTAAAGAAGTGCAATGGGATGGAATCGCATTGGAGAATATGGAAAACTTCAAAATATTGGTGGTAGAAAATATTCACTTTTCTAGAGGACCTAGTGCTCTCCCAAAAAGTTTAAGAGTGCTAAAATGGAGCCTATATCCTGAACCATCCTTGCCTACTAATTTTGATCCAAAGAAACTTGTCATATTGGACATGCCTATGAGTTCCTTTACATTCAAGAATCAACTGAACATGGTATTATTAGTAGCTAACAATCTTGGGTTCTTGATGTTTATTTGGTCTTGGATATTAATAAGTTATAACTCCATTTGAAAATTCATAAATTATTTACTACGTTGTTTTTTGTATTTTGCAGAAATTCAAGTCTTTGATAGAAATGAATTTCAGTGGTTGCCAATTACTAAAAGAAATACCCGACATGTCTGGAGCACCAAATTTGAAGAAATTGCATCTTGTTAATTGCAAAAATTTAGTTGAAGTTCATGATTCTGTTGGATTCCTTGATAAACTGGAATATTTGAATCTTGATGATTGCAGCAGTCTTAGGATTCTTCCCTATGGCATGAACTTAACTTCTCTTAAGAACATGTACCTTATGAATTGCACAAGTCTGAGGAGTTTTCCAAAAATTTTAGGGAAGATGGAAAACATAGATTCACTTTATTTGAGTGGTAGTGACATAAGTGGCTTGCCTTTTTCAATTGAAAATCTAGTTGGACTCAAATTCCTGGGTCTCAATGGATGCAGATGGCTACTTGAACTACCAAGTAGTATTTTTAAGCTGCCACTACTTAAGATGTTGGGTGCTGACTTTTGTGAGCGGCTTGCTCGAGTTCAGAATGGGGAAGGTCAAGGTCAAGTAACAATGTCTTCAAGTGTGGACTATGTTAATTTTAATCATTGTTATCATTTGACAGATCAATTTCTTTGCACAGTTCTTCCTTGGTTGCACAATGTAACATATCTATCCCTTAGTTATAGTAATATCACAATCCTTCCATCATCCATCAGTGTCTGTGTCTCCTTAAAAACACTTTATTTGAATGGATGCAAGGAGCTTCGAGAAATCAAAGGCCTTCCACCAAACATAAAAAATCTTTCAGCTATCAATTGCACATCTTTATCTTCTGAGTCTAATGAAATGTTACTGAATGAGGTATCTTATCTATGTTTTGAATATTTTCTCATACTTACGTGGATGCTTAACTGACATATTTTAATTAAATGTGATTGACAGAGACTACACGAGAATGGGGGCAGAGATTTCATATTTACAGGATCAAGTATGCCAAGTTGGTTGAATTGCAGTAGCAAGGGTCCATCCCTGCGTTTCTGGTTTCGTAACAAGTTCCCGCCAATTACTCTATGTGTTGGAGGAATTGGTAGCTATCACCGTTCGTGGCGCCTGTTGGTTAATGGCGTGTCACATTTGGTACCACCTTACATTGGTGGAAGAGGTTTCAATGAGTTTACAGATCATACTTCTGTGTATGATGGGCTCGAAAAAAGACATGTTAAAAAAGATGGGAATGGATGGAACTGTGCTGAGATTTTGTTTTGGAATTGTATAACATGGACGGGAGTACGTGTACTGGAACAAAAAACAAACATGGCAGATATTCAATTTACAAATCCCCACTTTTCAGTAGCAGATAAATAATTCGGGAATGAATTTCTCGCTGCCCAAATAAAATGGATGGGAGTACATGTACCGGAACAACAAAAAAACAAACATGGCATATATTGAATTTATAAATTCCCACTTTTCAATAATAGAGAAAGAACTCGGGAATGAATCTACAAAAAGAAGGATACAGCAAGGTATTATATGTAAAAAAAAAAAAAAAAAAAGAATTTCAATCAAGCCTGAAATTTCACTTTGCAATTAAGCATTAGATGATTTCATATATGTTAAGATGGAACACCTAGCTTGCCACCACTACTTTTACTTAAGTATTAAGGTTAGTTTTATTATTATTTACCAATTTTTGACCCCCGTAATGCGTGGGATTATAAGTAATTTTATATAATGTAACATAATTAGATGTATTTTAAATATTTTTAAAAATATATTACTTAAACATAAAAGTATAAAATAAATTTATTATTTTAAGATTACATTTTGCTCATTCTATGTTGTAAAAATATTTTATAATCAAATTATTTAAATTTTGAAAAATTAGATATCATAACATATATATAAGTATTTAAGAAATTAGTGTCATTTTAATTTGTTAAATTCTGTTGTAAAAAATATAAGGTAGAGTAGAATTTGTATTTACATTTGAACTTTAATGTAAGAACATTAAGAGAGTAGTATATTAAATATTTTGTATAAAGTAAATTATCTAATTACCAATCACATTTTTTCAAGATATACTTTTATCTATTATCAGATAAATTTTAAAAAAATATATATAAAATAATATACTAAATCTAATAAAAGAAAAACACATTGGACCATTAATTCAAATACTTGACATTTTTTAGTATATATGATTATCAAAAAAATGAAATGGTAATATAGGCACCGATGTATCATGATTCATGTGAGTTTAAAATGATGAGAGGTTATAAGATAAAATAAATAAAATAAAGAGATAATTTTTAATACTTGTAATGATTAATTTTTATAATATCAAATTATATAACTGAATAGTTATTTGAAATTAAAGTATATTGGTAAATTGTTAGTTTTAGATCATAAGATTTATAATTTAAAAACTTTATCCTAATTTGATTATTATGGCTTAAAGGGATTCGATAAAATCCAGAGCATAATGACACACTTGCCTAAAGTTAAGAAGTGCAATGGGATGGAACTGCATTGGGGAAGATGGAAAACCTTAAAATATTGATGGTAGAAAATGCTCACTTTTCTAGAGGATCTAATGCTCTCCCCAAAAGTTTAAGAGTGCTAAAATGGTGTGCATATCCTGAATCATCATTGCCTGCTGATTTTGATCCAAAGAAACTTGGACTTGCCTATGAGTTCCTTTACATTCAAGAATCAACTGAACATGGTATTATTAGTAACTAACCATCTTGGATTCTTGATGTTTATTTGGTCTTGGATATTAATGAGTTGTAATTCCATTTGAAAATTCATAAATTAGTTACTATGTTGTTTTTTGCATTTTGCAGAAATTCAAGTCTTTGATGGAAATGAACTTGAGTAGATGCAAATTACTAAAAAAATACCTGACATGTCTGGAGTACCAAATCTGAAGAAACTGCTTCTTGATAATTGCTCAAATTTAGTTGAAGTTCATGATTCGGTTGGATTCCTTGATAAACTTGAATATTTGAATCTTGATTATTGAACCAGTCTTAGGGTTCTTCCTTGTGGCATGAACTTAACTTCTCTTAAAATCATGTACCTTAGGAATTGCACAAGTCTCACGAGTTTTCCAGAAATTTTAGGGAAGATGAAAAACATTCGGAATGTGATAGTGGTATATATGACTTACCTTCTTCAATTGGAAATCTTGTTGGGCTTGTAGTTCTGATTCTAACTGGATGCACTACACTACTTGTACTGCGAGTAGTGTTTTTATGCTGCCAAAACTCGGGCACTTGGAAGCTCACTTTTGTTTGCGGCTTGCACAAGTAAAGAATAGCGAAGGTCAAGATCAAGAAACAATGTCTTCATGTTTCAAGGATGCTAGTTTTGACTTTTTCTATGTTAGTTTTGACTTTTGCTATCTGACAGATAAATTTCTTGGTGCACTTCTTCCTTGCTTGCGCAATGTTACAGATCTATCCCTCTGTAACAGCAATATCACAATCCTTCCATCATCCATCAGTGCATCTCTTTCCTTAACAACACTTCGTTTGAATGAATGCAAGGAGCTTCTAGAAATCAAAGGCCTGCCACCTAACATAAAATTTCTTTATGCCTTTAATTGCACATCGTTAACTTCCAAGTCTAAGGAGATGCTACTGAATCAGGTATCTTATCTATGTTTTGAATATTTTCTCATATTCTTTCAGCAAAAATAAAGATAAAATAACATCTATTGTCATGATGCTTAACTGACAGACACTACACGAGACTGGGGGCAAACGTTTTCTACTTCCAGGATCAACTATCCCAAGTTGGTTGAATTGCAGTAGTAAGGGTCTATCCATGCGTTTCTGGTTTCGTAACAAGTTCCCGGCAATTACTTTATAGGCTGCTGGACTTTCCCGAGGTTACGCTTTCTGTGAGTGGCAGCTGAAGGTTAATGGTATGCAACAGTTCCCTGTAATTTCTCTAAGTGAATGTGATAGTGTTGCTGGAGCTTATTCAAATTTGACAAATTATACAATTCTGTCCAATCCACTCGAAATAGGGAATAATAAATTTGAAAGATTACATCTGAAGAATGGATGGAACAGTGCTGAGATTTTGTTTGAGAATTATGGACGACCAATAGAAGGTATGAAATGGATAGGAGTACATGTACAGAAAGAGAAAACAAGCATTGCAGATATTCAATTTACAGAGCCCGAGTTTTCCATGGTCAACGATGAATTCCTGAAGCCAATAATGGTTCTTTCTGCCAAAATATTTCTGTATTAAACTGAACCTCATGGATTTCCTAGTCTTAGGTATCTCTGTTTTTATATTTTGGTCGTGGTCACAACTTTTGTGGGATGCTGGGTGCTAGCTATTCTTGTTAAATGAAAAAATCCTTCCTCCACTTTTTTTGAATTCTGTTTTTCACTTTCATTTTGAACGATTAGTTAGAAACTGGGAATGCCTATTTCACAGAAGCAAACTTTTTTCTCTCAAAATGCATCTTTTGCCTTTCTCTTATTTTGGAAACTCTGGCATCCCAATTCCCATACAGCTATAGACATCATTCTTGGTACATGTTTAAATTAGGCAATCCAATTATCTGTCGTATGAGCTTAATTAAACTAATTTAAATGAAAGTCTTTTTTCTAGCTTTCCAAAACAACTTTAACCAACAATTTATTTTTTGAAAAAAAATGTGCCACCGAACATGTCCAAAAGTTATGTACTGAATATGCAACTGCAACATCAGATGCAAAATATAGTTTTTCTTCTTCACCGATTTCAAATTTTGCAATATTCTCTAGGAAACACAGTAGATATTGGAGATAGCTAAAAATAACCTTTTAATTGCAGAATACCACCAGTAAAGCCGATGTCCAAATTCGAGGGAAATTATAAGGTGCTATTATAATAATTTTTTTTATCAGTAGGTTCTATTATAATATTATAATATATAAGAAAAATAAAAATGGAGACAAACAAAACTATACCAAAATGGCATTGTCGACCAGGTTAACAATTGTTCTAGAATGAGTTCAAACAACGCAAGATTAACATGAGAACTCTAATAAAATGTGTGATTTACTACAACCACTCAAACCTAACAGTCCTCCAAAAAGATGTGTGTCATTTTGTTGTCCAAATTCAACCCTTCAAGGCCTGCTTTTCCTTAGACTTCCGGATCTAAAGATCTTCTTCACCATCTTTTGCTTTTCAACTAAGAAAGCTCTGATAATTGCAAGTTATTATGCAACTCACACCAAACAACTAAATTCATAAACTCCACCATATGCACAGTTCACAGTGCTACGGTTTCTAGGTAGCCTTGACCTCTAATATCTTATATTCTGCAGGCCTCAAGTGTAGAATCTGCAATTGTTAAGCATACATTACCATGACAACCTTAGAAGTTGAAATAGTCACACAATTTTATCCCAGCGCACGAAACATATTATGCCTCAAGTGTACAGCAAAAATCATTGGTAAGCCAATGAAACCAGTAAGGAAAATCACGCATCATACAAAAACATCTGCTCATTATATATTCATTGTATGACAATGAATCAAGCAGAGATTGATCCATACGTCATTACAAGAATCATTAATCAATATTAAAATTTTGAAATGTGTTTGTTTTACTAATTTTTCATTCTTCAATGCACAATCATCGCCAAACTACTCTTCCATGGCTTGGCACTAAAAGTGTTTAACCCTGTTCACAAACTTGGAAGGTAAAACATATCAAAATCAACTTTTGTTGGTAGTTAAGATTTTTTTATTATCATAATTAAATATTTTAAAGTCTTCTTAATTTTATGTTTTGTTTGTAAATTTAGTTAAATATTATTTATATTAGAAAAAGTAAGTTGTGAAGATAAATAATATTTGTTTGTTTAATGTTGTTTGTTTTACCCAATTAAAGAGTTAATTAGTTATAGTGTTAATATGCATGTTATAACACTTTCAATACATACAAAATTGAGTTCATATATCATATCAACTTTTCTCCTCTTTTGTATTTGTAAAGTTGCAAATTTTTTAATTTTAGTATGTTATATTAGTACTTAATCATACACCTTTTCAACAACTTTGATAACATGAAGCTAAAAATTGACACTAAGACTGTCAATTTATACTTAATAAAAACACAAGTTATTATGTATGTTCCTTAATTTATCTGTTTACTTTAGCCTTACACAGTTCCCATTTACTACTCAACTACTGTTGGGTCATATTCTAGTTGGAGGTTAGGCTTTGTCTGTGTCAGAATGTCCCATGATTGGGCCATCTCGGATTTTGGTGGGCCATGTCTGACATCGTATCTGCACCATGTCCGTGTCGAGTCCGTTTTCGACAAGGGACGCTGATGCATGAAGGCACCTATTGCTCCCATTTACTTCTTATATAAAATTCATTATTTCTCGCAATTTAGATCGAAGAATTTAATAAGTGCAATAAAACATATTCTATTAATATAATTTTTAGAATATTAAAATAATTCTAGCTAATAGAAAGTATGATGATTTAAAGTAAGTTACAGTAAAAATATTGAATCTCACATAGTATATAATTATGATTATATTAATTTGTAATGGTTGAAATCAAAACATAAAAACAGGTTATATGACTAAGCAAAAATAAAAGTGGTTGAAATGAGAAAATTTGTAACTTCATATATATAAAAAGGAATAAAAGTTGATGTGATATATTTGGGTTATTGTTGATCTTTTGGTAACTGTATTAATATCAATTTGTAATTGATAGTAAGTACAAGTAGTTACAGGGGCTTGACATATGTTGATAAAATTTCACACTTAAGTCAATTAAACAAAAAATTATTATCAACAATTCTATTAATATAAAACAAATTTTTTTTTGTAGTATGGAATTTAAACTAAAGATAAAATGTAACAAGTAAAAAAATCATACTTAATTCAATTAAGCTAGACGTTTGGATTGGGAGCAAACTTCACCGATCAAGATTCAATGTACTTTTTGATCTAACATATAACACTCTATTTTTCATAAAATATGATATAAGTATTTAATTAATAACTTTGGTATTTTTTTAATTAATAAGAGTTGATTAATATTTATTTTAATTATTTGATATGTTTTAGAATATAATATAAGTTGTTTTAATTAAAGGTTTTAATTAAATATTTTTTGTAAATTAATTTAGAGGAAGAGAATTAGTAACTATAGTTAATTCTTTTAACTGAGGGGTTAAGGGGGAGTTATGTTTTTAAAAGATAAGTTTTGATTAGTTTTTCATTTTATGCTCCTACACTTTTCTACGGTTACACACTTGAGAGCTCGGAGAATCGGAAGAAGAAGGAAACCATCCCAAAGTTGCAAGACTGTCATCTAGTGCTTATCTGAATAAGGGGGTGTGAGAAATCTCACTTTGAGTGTGAGATTATATGTTAGATAGTGGGATTGGCCTCTAATCCTCTATTGTATGCCTATGCATGAAGCATTTTTTCCAAATGTGTCTTTATTTTCTTTATTTCTCCTTGTATGTTCTATTTGATGTAAATTGTACGTATATGTTTGTAATTTTTAAAATTGACTTGAAATTGTATGTTTTGGTGTTCCTGTTGGAAACCCTAAGGTGATTATATGAAAAGGTTAACTGGTATGTAATTGTACATGTAAATTGTGTTGTTTGGAATGTTTAGCATGTGGTTTGGAATGTTTCTACTGATTACATGGTCTCTTTTGATGAATTTTGGTGATGAGATGAGTTTTGGGGTCCAAAGAGTTGAAAATCACATGATCAAATTTCTTCATGATCGTGACTCATTTGGATTTCAACCCTTTGGATTTCACCGAGTCAGTCAAGGGCGTGATTGACATCACGACTATGATCCGTGAGTCACGGTTATGATTTGTGAGTCATGGTCGTGATTCATGTTGATGCCCCTATTTCTCATTCTTTTCTTCCTTTTATCACCTATATTACTTGAGATAAGTCATATTTATCAGTTTGAGATGTAATGTATATATTTGTGTATAAATCATGTATGAATGGGATGATGTAATACCTTGTGATCTTGATATTACCTGATGGAATCATGCTTTGGAGAGCAAGATGTGACATACTCAAAGATCCAAGAGGAGTGGGCTAGATATGGAAGATTCAGCCTATCAAGGCCCAATGGGCCCTATGGGCTTGGAAGGCCCAAACCAAGTTTTCAACATGGGCCTATCTTGTTATGAACATTTTTGTCTTGTTTTGCTAATATAGTTTGAATATATTTTGGTCTTGTATTTTGGACCACATAGAGTAGTATTTTAGGTTTTAGGCTTGTTGGGCCTAGTTTTGGGCTTCATTGGCCTTTGGGCTTTTGGTACCCAATATTGGGCTCATTTTCATTCTTATAATTTTTCCTTTCCATTGTATTTGTTGGACCATTGTAATTGGGTCATTAGAGTAGGATTTAAGGAGGATTATTAGTTTAAGAGGATTAGGCAAAATTAGGTTTAATTTAGCATGCATTTAAGTTGCATTTTGAGTCACATGGATCATGCCACCTTGGCTGAACATGTGTGACTTAAATTCAACCCTAAATGCACACTAAATCAAAGCCAAATGCACCAAGCACCCATGGGACCGGTCATACACATGTGTGACAAGTTTTGAATTCAAATTCAAATTTGAATTCAAAACTTGGCGCCAACATGGTGGCCACTCATGTGGCGCCAAGTGTCCACCTAATTTTCGGAAGCTATATGTTCCCTCCTTCACCTTATTGTACTCACTTTGAATATTGAATGAAATTTGAGAGCCATTAGTGCTGAGTTTCTCTTTAAAGTCACAAAGAATTCGTTTCAAAACCTTAGGAAATTTCACCTTCTTCCTTCTCTTTGAAGTGAGTTCTCCATTGATCCTAGAGCTTGGATGCTTCCATCCAAGGCTTGAGCCTTCATCCATCTGTGTTCTTTCATCTTTCAAGTCCCATTTCATTCGGTGTTATCTCCTTAAAGAAGATCCGTGGCAAGGAGGAGCTAAGGAGAAGAACATTCATCACTTCTCCCTACCTCTTCCATCATTTTTGGTATCAAGAGCAAGGTCTTCAAGGAGATAAGTTCTTCATCTTTTTGTGTGTACGTGCTTGTGTTCTTGTGTATCTCCTTGTCTTGTTTGAGTTGCTCTTCGGATCTATATGCTTTAATTCACATTTTATTCCATAGATCCATTGGTTGATTGTTTTTGAATTTTCTTCCACAATCAACATGTTTAGGACCTATTAGCTTGTGCTTGATTTTTGATTTTATTTTGAGTCTCTCCATTCTTATATGTGTCCGTGATTGGACTTCATGCATTGC